TAACACCTTTGAGCTGTCTCACCACCATTGGATTCCTTATTTCTGGTGTGTCTCCCCCCCGCCCCCTCCCTCTCCCTCTCCCTCTCTCTCTCTCTCTCTCTCTCTCTCTCTCTCTCTATATATATATATTTTTTTTTTTTCCTATCTTGCTCAGGCCACTGTTATTTAGATTTTGTGTAAATGCAGCCAAAGGCAATCATTTAATGTGAGAAAACTTGCCAATGGATGCAGGCCCAGCAAAGAGAAATTGCTACTGGAAGCAAAGCTGTGGAATTTTTTCTTTTTTTTGGACGTCATGTAGGCACTTTCAAAAACTGACTAATCTACTGGAGATATAAATTTTATTCTCAGCACAGCACTGTGAACGTTTAGTGAGAACAGTGACCACCTGTAGTGAACATGTACAATACACCAGATGCCATGTTAAAAACATCAGAGGCATCAACATACCTGCTGTGTGATCTTGGGGCAAGTCACTTAACATGTCAGTGCTTCAGTTTCCTCATCTATACAACAGAGAAAATATAGTATCTGTTGCCTAGAGTTGTTTTGAAGAGTAAAGGAGTTAATAATATGCAAGGAGCTCAAAATAATGTGTGATAAACAGCAAATGTAACATTAACATCGTTATCATGGTCTTTTTTTTTTTTGAGACAGGATCCCACTTTGTAGTGCAGGCAGGCCTTGAACTCGCTGCAATCCTCCTGCCTCAGCTTCCCTAGTGCTGGGATTACAGGTGTGTGGCCCCACACCCAGCACTGAGGTCATTATTATTCTCCACAAACTCTAATGCAGTAAGGTTTGATCTCATCTCTATTGGGCAGCTTTTTGTCACTGGGACTAAACGCCTGATACTGCAGTTTAAAGGAGAAGAGGTTTATTTTGGCTTATGGTCTCAGAGGATTCAGTCCATGGTCTGCTGGTGGCAAAGCAGAAATATCATGGTGGAAGGGCATGAGCAAAGCTGCTCACTTCACGATGGCTAGGAAGCAGAGCACAGGGACGAGTGCTCAGGAGTAAGGGGCTGGGGATGAGATACTGCATGGTCCCAAAGTTAGCACTGGACACATCCACAAGTATGCTTTTCTAATCTCTCAAGCCAATCAAACTGACAATCAAGACTAACCATCACATTATCGAAAGGTGAGGAAGACAGCATAGGAAAGTCCTGAGACCATAAGGAGAGGACGTCTCTCAAGTGCTTAGCGCTGTACCAGGTAAATGCTTAGTAAACTCTAGCCATTATAAGTTTTAAGCATCCCATTATCCCTTTTACAAGGGGCTCCCAACTCTAGCAATCTGTGGACCTCACTGGGACCTTCAATCCATTGATCCTGCCATCTTTCCAACTTCTCACACTCCTTGAAGTCCTCATTCTCTCCTTATCACACACAGGGCCCTGTGGTCACTCCCTTGTCCATACCTTCTGTTCCCAGACACTCCTTCTCTCCATAACACTCACCTGTAAAACCCTGGCCTTCATTAAACCCAGCTTTGCTCCTTTGGGAAACTGAGGCTGGAGAGCAATGCACAGCTGTGCTGACTGGGCTAAGCTCCAATGGGCCCTCCATAGGGCTGCCTGGCAGTGCCACCATGATTCACACTCCATTCATTCTCAGGCTCTTCCAGAGTGCTCCTCTCTTCTCCACCTCTCTCAACCCTCAGTTATTCTCAGAAGCAGGGTGCTTGGATATTTCTCTGAGATGAGAGAGCAGTGAGAAGGCGTGACCCCCAGGGTCCCATCTCTGCAGCCACCAGCCTACATGCACCTGGAACCCACACCCACACCGGCCTTCCCACCAGTCCCCAGCTTCTTGCTGCATCACAACATTCACTGCTGGATCTTCCATGAGCACTGAAGTAGACTTTCTCTTTCCTCTGCTTACAAGGTTGGAAACCCATCGGTGAGATCACCCAGCTTCCTCCTCTTCCTTTAGTACATCTTGTTGGTGAGGTTTTTCCCTGCCCCTATAGCAACAGTTACTACCCTCATTCCCAACCCCCATCTTGATTTTTCCCTCATTGGCAATGCCACCTAATATACCTATGTATTTATTTATTATCTGTCTCCCTTGATGGGAGCAACGGTTTCCATATGCTTTGTTTGCTAGAGTGTCCCCCTAAGTTTAGGACAGTGCTTGATTCAGTCACTATTCCACAAGTGTTTTTAGTATATGTGCTGCCAGAGCGAGCACTCCGCAAGTGCTTAATGGGCTCCTGTTAGATGCCAGGTACTGCATCAGCCACTGAGATGATAGTAATGACCACAATAGGCCAAGAATTCTGCCCTTTTAGTTAAGTAGTTACACCATGCTATAGTTTGGATTTGGAATGCTCGTCGCAGGCCTAGGTGTTAATGCCTTGGTCCTCAGCTTGGTCTTATTGGGAGTTAATGGAAACTTTTAAGAAGTGGGGCCTAGTGGGAGTTTTTAGGTCATGTCCTCAAAGAGGATTGTGGGATCTCTCCCCCCACTTCTCCCTTCTTTCCCCTCCCTCTCCTCTTCCCTCCCCTCCTTCTCTCTCCCCCTTTCCCCCCCTCTCTCTTTTCTTTCCTTCTCCCACTTCCTCACTTCCCAGGTATCATGAAATGAGCAGCTTGTTCTACCACACACTTTCAGCCATGATGTGCTGTCAACAGGCCCAAATAACCATGGACCAGAACTCCTGAAACTGAGGCAAAATAACCCTTTTCTCTTTATAAGCTGATTACCTCAGCTATTTGTTAGGGTTATAGAAAGCCCAAAACAGGTTATGTGAAACACTCAATGCCAGGGAGGGTGGGAGCTGCTTGTCCGTGGTGGCCAGGAAACGCCACTCTGAGGGAAGGGAGGGATGAGCCAGTGGACCTCTGTGGGAAGGGCTTTCTAGGGAGGGGACAGGTGGCTAGAGGGCCACAGCTGAGACTGTTCCAGAAGAGGGAGGAGGCTAGGATGACCAGCAGAGGGGAGCCAGAGAGAAAGAGGGAGCCCAGGTTGGAGGGGTAAAGGAGGGTGGAGAGGGGAGATGAGGGTTCTGTACACGTTGGGAGAGCTTTTGTTCTGAGTGAAATGGGGGAGCCACGGAGGGATCGTTAAAAACTGTAACACAATGATATGAATAGATAGTCCACATTCAAGTTTTTACAGTTGTCTCAGTAAGGCCCTTTTTAAAAGTTTACAAAATTTTATTACCTCTTAAAGAAACTTGCACAAGGGGCAAAATCAAATTTCATAATGTATGTACTACTAATAATTATCCTTTGGGGCTTCTAGGACTGCACTAAGAAAGGCCAGCTATAGCTTTAGAAAAGTTAATAGCTTTATAATGTCACTTTATAGCTCTTCTCTTCACGATCTGACAAAGAATCATATGCTGCACTTGGTTGTCATGTCTTTTTATTTTTTTTTTGGTACCGGGGATCGAACTCGGGTCCTTGCGCTTGCACAGCGGGTGGTGAAACCACTGAGCTAAATCCTCGGCCCTCATGTCTTTATTTTAACAGCTTTATTGAGGTAAAATTCACCTACTATATAATTCACTCATTTAAAATATACAATTCAATGGCTTTTAGTATATCCAGAGAGTTGTACAACCAGCACAGGAAAATAATTTTAGGATCATTTCATCACCCCACAAGGTTTAGCTTTCGATCCCAGGCCCCCTCAAAGCCCCAACACCAGGCAACCACGAACTACTTTGTTTGTATCGATTTGTCTGCTCTGGACATTTCATATAACTAAAGCGAACAAAAAATGTGTTCTTTTGTGTCTACCTTCTGCTTTGCAGAGTATTCTCAAGGCCCAGCCGGGCAGGCCCTGTTTCCTTTTTATGACTTAATAATGTCCCCTTGTACGGATAGCTCACTCTTATTTATCCAAGGAGGGTTCTGAGCAGGGGAGTGACATGATAGAGTGGCATTTAACAAGGCTTTTTCTGGCTATTGCTCCAAGAACCAGAGAACGACCAACCGTGCCAAACCTTGCTTTTAGAGAAAATATGATAAGGTCCAAGAATTGACCAGTAAGTGCTCAAATACTTTAATAAAGAAAGGAATTTAATTAGCACAAATATTCTGATATATAATTTATAAATGGCATTTTATGGGTTTTATGGGATTTGTTGTATTTCTTTTGAATAATTAAATGTGGAACAGATATAATTAAATAATTAATGAGTAAGAGTTTTAAATGGAATGCTAGAGATGTAAAGGTATAGGAATAACTGGAGAGTACCATTAATTTATTGTGGTCTTTGATATTTTCTTTATATTGCTGGTAACCATCCTTTTGCGTCATGTGAAATTTATTCCTCAGAATAATTCTTTAAACATAACTCAACATTATGGTAATCACCAAAGATTTCATGCCAGACACCGAACAAGAGAAAAGGTTGACTTTTGGAGAAAGATACTCTCAATGTCTATGCAGATCATCAGGTAGACTTGAGTTCAATTTGCTTTCGTTGGGGGGAGGGTTGTGTCATCGAAAAATTGTAGAAACTGGAGCCCAAATTTAGAGTGTTAAACAGATACCTCCCCGTGGTCTCTGCCATTATTTGGAGCACCACGGTTTACCCACTCAAATCAGAGGATCCCGGTGGGCATAAACCGCACCTATCCACGCAGGAGTTGGGATAAACACAGGCCATAGTTAGCAGGCTGTCCAATTCCGGGGCCTACAGATCACTGGGGAATGAATGAGGAGGAATGAAAACTAGACATAAAAAGGCGAGTCCAAAAGGCATTCTGCGTTTGTAGGACGACGCGGTGGACGTGTTCGTGAACGTTTCAGAAGAGACTCGGAGGATCGAGCTCGACTGGCGGACCCTGCACCGAGCCGCTCCACCTGGACGGGGAGGCAGGGCCGGGGTCGCCACCATGCTGGGCCGGGAGCGATTTCCCCCGGACGCAGCGTGCGTGCGGGCCCGGGGCGGTGGCTCGGCTGCTCCCCCGCCGCCTGCGTCCCCGCCGGCCGGGCCGGGAATTTGGAGAGGATCCCTGGTCGCGCGGCGGCGGCGCGCGAGTGCGCGTGTGAGCGAGCGGCCGAGCGGGCGGGCGGCGAGTGCGCCGGTATTGGCAGCGGAGGAGTGGAGGCTGGGCGGCTCCGACTCCCTGACGCCAGCGCGACCAGATCAATCCAGGCTCGGGGAGCAAGCGGGCAGAGGAGGAGGCGGCGCGGCGTGGCGAGGAGAGCGGCGGAGCCCCGGCCGCGCGGGAGAGACCCCGGGAGCGCAGCGCCCGACCGGACCGACCTGGGGGGCCGCGGGACCCGCACCGGCCCTCGTGCGTCCGCGCGGATGGGCGCGCCGCCGAGCCGGTAAAGCGAAACAGGCGCGACCCGCCGTCCCTCCGCGTCCCCGCTCCCACTCCCACTCCCGAGCCGCCTCGCGTGGGGCGGGCCGCGGACCCCCCCCCCCATGATGGCGCCGCCCGCGCGGCCGGCCCGGCTCCCCTCGCGGCTTTGTCGGGTGCGCGGCGGCGGGGAAGCCTCGCCCCCGGCCTGCCTGCGCCGGACCTCCCCGCCGAGGCCGTGCGCGCGGCCCGCGGCCCGCGGCCCATTGTGTCCCGCGCCGGCCCGTGCGGGAGTCCGAGCCCCGTGGTCCGCGCTGCCCTTTCCGCGGGGAGCAGCGGGGGTCTCCGGGAGGGGACATCGGCGCCCCAGGCCCCTCGGCGTCCCTCACGGGTTCCTTTCTGTGTCCAGAGCAGCCTCTTGGGGGTCGAGGTCAAGGAAAGTTCGCACCGAAATTGCCTCTAATTTATTCAAAGGTTTGGCGGTGGCGGCGCGTAGTTCCCCCCCCTCTTCCGCCTACACCCCCTGCGTCTCCAGGAGTCGGCTCATTCCTTTCCCTTGACCGGATCCGATGGCTTCACTTGCGATTTCGTGAGCTCGCCGCGGAGCAACTGTCCCTTTGCTCTGCACCCTGTCTTTGTTAGTGTTGCTCGGGGTTGTTTGTGAATTAAGGTGCGGGTGGTGGGTGTGAAAGAGACAGACGTGGGCTTGTTTTTCTAGTTGCTGAATGTATATGCAGGCTTAAAGAGGCTTAGAGATGATCTTTGGGAAGGGAGGAGGAACACATGCCTGCCAGATCTCACACCTACAGTAGCTGCGGCTTTTGTTTATTCAGGCACATGCGATTTTTTAAAAATACACCATGCAAGATAACCAGTAAGGTGCTTTCCTTCTGAAAATCCAGGCCTGCTTCAGAACCGTCTCCTGGAAAGCATCGTTTTTCCGTGAGTGCTGTGACAAGCGGCCTTTTCCTTTCTCCTCTGTGTTCTGTCCATTCTGTCTGAAGTTTCAGAGCATGGGATGCTACATAAGTTGCGGTTTGTGTTGTTGCGTCTTCCTGTTGCGACGTGCTCAGCGGTGAAATCACAGGATGCCCTTACTTCTGAACATCGCTATCAGGCTCTAATTGCTTGTCGTGGGTAACGCGCCCAGACCTCAGTAACACAATGAGAAAACTGTTCCCTGCCCAGGTTCATTTTTCGTCTTGTTGATAGTTACCACTTTGAGTTGTATTGGAGGCAGGTGAGCTGTATTGAAGCCATTATTTAAAAAGAATCCAGGCAGAACCGTCCCAGCAATTTCAATTGGTGTAAATATTTTTGCATCAGCATTACTCTGATGTAGGTGCCAGGCCTAAATATGCTGTACTGATTAAAGTGTTTGTCCTCCCCTATCCCTCCCTCGTTCCCATTTGCAGTTATTTGATATTTCTGTGCAGGTGGTGTACCATTTGTGGAACACTGAAGTTCTTGGGAAACTAACCAGGGTCCTGAGAGATGATTTTTCTGGAGGTGAGTGATGCCAGTCTCCGAGGATGCAGGATCAGGTTTCTTCTGAGGCTAGGGATTTGTCCTTGATTCGGTTCTGACCCCTGCAACCATGGGTATGTAACCAAGTACATTTTTCCTTTTGGAGTAGCCTTTGGTTTTACGCTCCTGAAGAGCTGATGGCCTTTGTGTTTTTAAGCAATTACGAATGTTAACTTCAAATGTTTCTCGGAATAGGAGTAATTTTTTTTTTTGGCCAAGTTCATTAAAGCAGTAAGAGAAAGTGATTCTCATTTTTCTCAGGTACAGTTATTATTTAAAAACTAAGTTTTGGTTTGCAGTTTTGATTTCTAGCGATTCTGGGTTCAAGATAAAATTTCTAAGTAGATTAGAAAAAGAGTCAACTTGAGTGTAATTAGACCGGCGTATTTAAGCTGCAGTAGCCTGCATAATCAAGGCCAAGTTGTGTGTGTATAAAAGATCTCATTTGTGTAGTCTTACAAGGCTAATGGAGGCATCACCGAGGCTTTATAAATAATGTAAGTTGTGTATAATGTAGAGTCTCCAGGGACGGCAGAGAAAGCATCATTACCAGCCTTTTCAACCTGCTTGAGATCTTAAATTGATTTACAGCACTGAACTGGTGCAAAATGATACATCAGGATGACATGGGGTCAGCCTGTAAAAGTCTATGATGTCAGCCTATTAGTTCAGTCATCATAATTAAACCATATTACAGGGGCAGCTAAGCGGGAGTCTGGCGTTAGACTTCAGATATGGGTGGTACATGGATTTTGTTATAGTGGAATGGCCAAGATGGCCAAGAACACTAGTGTTTCTGAACAAGGAGAAACTTCACAGAACTATGAATTTCTGGGGAGGAAAATTGATGAATGCAGGCATGTCCAGTCTTCATTGTATAAGTAGCTTTCTGCTCAGTGGTGTAGAACCAAATGCTTTTGGGGTGCTGATAAGGACCTTCGCTGTTCTAACCTGTGTATTGAATTGTAGAATTTAATTTGGCCTTAGGGACCTTGTAAAATATCAGAGGACCACCTACTTTATCTCTGATCCTTTCATTACCACTGAGTTTGTGCTGTACTGATGTATGAGGGGACGTGTTTAACTAGTCATAGGTACCAGGCCTCCCCTGAAAACAAACATATTTGAATTGAACTTATGAGCAAATCAGGAAAAGAAAACCCTTGTTTTTGCTTACATTTCTATAATCCTTACTCAGTTTATGGACCATCTATAGTGTGCTGTCCAGTAAGGTCCCATAGACACATCTATTTGTTTAAAATTAAACTTAAAAAAACCATCTTCTCAGTACTATCCACATTTCAAATGCTCCATAGCCACGTATGAGTAGTAGCTACCATATTGGATTGTATTTATAGATTTCTAATGTCACAAAAAGTTCTTCCAGACCAATGATGGTGAACCTACTGCATGTGTGCCGCAGCAGGCTGTGTGTTAGCATTGAAAGCTCTAAAAGGTTCGCCATCACTGTAATAGATGGTGTGGCCCCATGGCCTTTATCTCTTAATAAATTTGTAGGGCCAAAGAGAGAAAGACTACACATATCAGTTAGTGTTACTACTAACTAGCTGTTTTTGTTAAAACAGGCAATTTGGAAGTAATAGTTGAAGCGACTGGATAAAATGACATTGACTTTTCTGTAGATATTTATCATTAGTGTCATGGATCCTATTTTGATTTAGATCATTGGACAGGAGAAATAACTGTAGTAATTTTTTTCTGAGTTTTCATTGTATGCCAAACATTGTTTACAATAGTTATATCTCATGTAAGCCTCAAAACTTCCCTAAGGACTGTTGTTACCACATTTTACAGGAAAAGAAACTGAGGCTAGTGATGCAGTGTCTTGCCTTGGGTCACATAATAGTGAGCAGTTACTACTTAAATTCTCAGCTGGGCTATGAATAAGACCACTTGACTCCAGGACCTCATTCTTAAGTGTATTTTTTGGGTTTTAATCTAGAGTACCCACATAGGCATTATGCCACTGTGCTTCACTATCTCAGTACAGATAGCACTTTGCTTTTATTTTTTAAGCCTTGAAAACTCTGCCCTCTTTGTGATTTGGGGGCCTGTTTCTTCTGCCCTCCTCTTTAAGTATTTAAGGGAGGGGGATAAAGATAGTACTTACCTAAACCACATGATTTGAAGAATAAATCTGACATAAAAGTATTGCATTTAAAGCCCAATTAGTTTTATCTCTGCTTTTCTGCATAACTCCTGCCATTTCCCTCTTGTGCTTTCTTGTATAATCACAAACTGGTGGTACTGATGAGGAAAGTTCTAGTACCTCAGTCTATCTGTTTTATCAGATTTACTATGTTTTCCTTGACCAGTTAAACATTGTATCTTGAGATAAGAATAGTGCTTTGCAAATTCCTTGTTTTGTTTTTTTTTTAAATATTTGATGCCTACTCCTGTGATACATTATAGTTCACTTGTTCCTATGTGGGGGCAGGAAGTTAGGGCTGTTTAGGAATCTATTGAAACTGTGGATTCTGTGTGTTCTCTTTACTTCCAGCTTCCTATCCAAAAATATTTACACACGCTGAGGAGTTTGTGTGTACACTTAAATACCCCAGTTGCATGACCTTTCAGGTGAAGTATATCTATGGGACTGCCTTGCCATGTGCTTTTATAAACATTGATACTTTAATTTCCTGTTCGTAGACTAGAGAATTCAGTATTTCTTGTTCGAATTGCTTTAAAGAGTTCCTCATCCAGTTGGTTCATATTAAGGTAAGCATTCTGAGGTCTAGAGAAGATAACGGGTCTGTCTGCAGTTACCCTTCTGGTGACTGGAAGCAGGGAAGCAAATCTTTCTTCCTCTAAGTGTTGGTGAGTGTCCACTTGTTTCGTTTTTCCTACCATACTCACTGTGTTGCTGAGTTTTGGGTTGAGCTTATCCTGTATCATTTGGAGAGAAAGGGGAAAAAAAGATTTTTTTTGGCATGCTACTGACATTTTGTACCTAATATTGTTTGAGATAAGTAGGAATCAAGTCTGACAACTCATAGATGTTTTTCTACAGGTTAAAATTGATTCTTTTTATTCTAGAGTTGGAAAAAAAAAAAAAGCCCATGTCTGATTTAGTCAGTGGGACCTTATTAGAAAATGGGAGATCCAAGACTGTACAAGTTCAAATAAAATCAGACCGTTCTGATTTACAGAGAAATACATAAATCTTCTCGTTTGACTCAAAAACAGATTACATTTCTTACCAAAAGCTGAAGTTGGAGTTTTAAGGAACTAGCTAGAGGTTACTAGGTGGAGCTTTAGAAAGGAAGGAAGGATAATTTAAGTATAAAAAGGAGGAGAACATCAGTAGAAGTCATAAAATGACTTTGATGAAATGCACTGATACTTCTAATGTGGTTTTAGTTTTTGGTACTAAGATTGCAGAGTGTGCTTTGAAAACAAATAGGGTCATCTCCTTGCCCTAAGTGGAATCTGACTCTCTGTATGCTTTTTCTGCTATAATCTGGTAGTACAAATATT